CACACACACACACACACACACACACACACACACACACACCAAATGGAGAATGTGAGCTGAGCACAGGCATTCATTACTCACTGTTTTCTGTCTGTGCACAAGGGACCAGCTGCCTCCATTCCATGTCCATACCTTTCCCATCATGAGGGACTGAGTACCCCAGAACTGTAAGCAAAAGATACCCCCCTCACCTTCCTCAAGTAGCTTTTGTCAGTATTTTGTTATGGCTACAAGAAAAGTCACTAATAACACTAGGCAAGTACTCTGTCAACCGAACTAGTTGATTGTTCTTAAATGGAATTATGGATGCAAGACAGCTTCTGTAATTTTTTTTCCCTCATAATGGTCTCTTTTAAAGGACAAAAGTTTTTCACTTTAATAAGCCAAAGTTTATAAATTACATGCTTTAATGGATTTTGCTATTACTGTCACATTTTCTAAAACCTGTGCCAAACCTAAGGAACATTAGTTTCTTTAGCTTCCTTATAAAAGCTTTATAGTTTATTGGTCATAGTCATCCATCATTCAATCAACTGTGTATATAGGTTACAACACTCAAAATTCTATCCTAAGTATTTTTTATTTGTTTTGCATTGAGACAGGGTTTCACTCTATATCCTTGGTGGTCCTAGAACTCACAATGAAGACCTGACTGGCCTTGAACTTGAAGTAATCCTCTTGCATCTCACTCCTGAGTGCTGAAATTTTAGGCATTCATCATGTCACATTTTATTTTGTAAAATTAGTAAGTCTTGGTATCAGGTAGATAGCAAACAATTCTACATTGTAAGGCATATAAAGTTTTTAAAACTGACTGATAAATTCTACAGGAAAAAAATCACACTGTGATTTTGATAGAAATTACAAACTAACTTGGGGTAAATTGACATTGTAAAGCTATCTTGTACTCCAGGAAGAGAAGACAGTTAGAATTTCCATACTCGGGCCTTCATTTATTCTCAAAAATGCTTTCCAACTCCCAGAGCATGGCTAATATAGCATTTTGGAGACTAAGATATATTAAATTATCAATTTACTATTAGGATTTGGAAATATTTCTCTCTCTCTCTCTCTCTCTCTCTCTCTCTCTCTCTCTCTCTGTGTGTGTGTGTGTGTGTGTGTGTGTGTGTGTGTGTGTGTGTGTGTGTCCAGGCACACTTAAGGAACTCAGAGGAGTCAGGTTCTCCTCTTTCCCCTCAGTGGGATTCGGGGATTAAACCTGAAACTTGTGGGCCCATGGTTCTGTAGGGAAAACAGGTATCCATGTTGCTGGTGTTTCCCAAGGAGATTACACAGAAAAAGTATGTGTAGCTGTCTTCCTGTGCGCACACACACACTTATGTTCACCATCCATAGCAGTGATTGAACTCCAGGTCTTGCCCATGCTAGTCAAATGCTATAACTGCTAACCTACAGTCCAGCGTTTTTTCCATTTTTTTGAGACAGGCTCTCAATACATTATCCAAGATGGCCTTGAGCCTAGGATCTTGCTGTTTTTCCCTCCTTAAGTCACTGGGATTTTAGACCTATGCCACCAGATTTGGTTTTTTATAAACTATCCTTTACCTTTTAATGCTGTTAAAGCTATTTTTATTATGTGCCTATTTTTAAGAGTAAGTTGTGCTTTCTGCAGAGATCAATCATGTCTTCCTTGACTACAGCTTTAGCTTTCTTCCCTGCTGGTGGTCGCTTCTTCCGAATTCTCCAACATCCTCAGCAGACCTCTGCCATTTTCTTTCTAGTTCTCTGTCCTCCCAGAGTTGAAACTATTCTATTAACTCAGGGAGACATCAAGCGCAATGGGAGTTCTTCTTCCCTGTCTCCAATAAGCCCTAAGAAAGTGTGTAAAGACTCCCAGTTTTCTATGTAAATAACCTGCAGTTTAAAGAAAGTAATGTGCTTATTTCAATCAAGTACACAGGAGAAATCAGGAATGCAGAAGCTGGCTAGGACAAAGTATGTGTTTTCAGAGACGAGAAAGGTACAGAAGCCAAGCACAGATGACAGTCTAGGCCCGGGAACTCCACACTTACTAAAATTGGTGCTTGAGGGATACATTGAAGACAATGGCATAACCAGTCATGCACAGGCTTACTGTGTATTCCAAAAGCAGACACACAGAAAAGCAGCATGCCTGTATCAGTAAAAGCAAAAGTACACAGTAATTGGAATATAGACACTAAAAATTAATTTTTATCACGAACGACAAATAGCCTTAACTAATAATATAAATAATGCAATTTGTTTCCACTTCAGAACTAAAAAATGTTTTAATCATACTACTTTACAAGACTGTTGTAATGTGAAATCATTGATATTTACATGTTTCAAAAGTGAAACTGCTGTTCATCAAATGAACTGCAATGTGACTAAGTAAGGCATGGCAGTCTATTCACAAGGTATCGGTATGGAGAGGGCTTGAGTAAGCCACACTGGAGTCTACTAAGAGCGAGCTATCAGTGAGGTTCATATTGCTGCTGGAGCAAGGACACTCTTCTCACAGCATATGTGCCTCAGGAGGAAAATTACTGTCAGATGCAGGGGATATCCCCAGTCAAAGACCACAAAACAACTTAATTCAACGTAATTAGATCCATATACTTTATTTTTCTCCCTTGGCTGATTAAAGTGCCCTTGGAAGAATTCAGAATAATACGATTTTTCAAGTATTCAAAGATGGCCAGATAAATCATGTGCCAGACAGATTTCATGATTCGTATTAAATTTTATCAGTTCAAAATAATTTTCGGCAGGACCTTATAACGATTAATTTTATGGTTACCAACTTAAGTCTTTCTATCTTTATGTTTAGTTTTTAGACATTCCAACTTACAGAGAATGTCCTATAAGTAAAATGATTGTGAATAATTCTATTTCATTTGCATACCTGATAAATGGGCATATAGTTGGCAATACCAATCTTTATACCAAAAACTACAGGCACCATCCTAATACTTAGTGTCATCAGGAATCTTACACAAAACTCATTGAACTTCCAGGTAAGTTAAAAAAACAAAAACACTAATAAAACCAGGCTTCAAAATCGTGTGCCAAATACTTAAAACATTCAAATGCTCAATGGTTTTGATGGGGTTTGGGGATTGTCTATAAGAGGGTTTCCAATAAGGTTTTACTTTTGGTTGTGAGCCTAGCCTTTAATGGCCGAGCCATCTCTCCAGCCTTCAAACAGGTATTATAAAAGAAAATAAGGAAACGAACTGTGGCTAGAGAGCTGAGATCCTCTATAGTACTGCTGCACCAAAAAACACAATGCAAAGGCAACTAAGCTGGACAAAAAGCAAGTTGGTCCTGCATCAAAGAGTGCTCAAAACATGACAGAGATATGTCAAGAAATTTCTTAGATATGTCTGAGGCCATGTGAATGAGTGCCAGCTTGCTAAATTGGGACCACTTTGAATAAAATAATTATTAAACAAATATAGGCCTTTTAAAGAAGAATAGAGAAAACTATAGCGATATGCTGGTATCCTGATTAAGTTATTAGCAAAGCTGAATGGTTGTATTCCCATCAGGCAGAGGCAAGAGGAAGCAAGCTTCCAGACCAGCCTAGAGAATATGGTGAGAGCTTATCTCAAAAACACAACTTAAGTTACCAGTGAAAACTATACTACACTACATAAAATAAAGTGAGAACACCAATTGCGGAAATTTTGAGAGAAGAAACGGGAAGCAACATTTAATGTGCTGAAATTATAAACAGACAAGAAATAATGAACTGTTCCAAAAGGAAGCAGACTAAAAATATGGCAATCCCTTTTCCTGGGGCAGACCCTTGTGCCAGTTGTTGAAACAACTACTAATGGCACTTAGCAGGGGTTTGACACTTAAAACAGCAGAATTATTTTTACTTTGTATTCTAGAGGCTTCGTATGTCCACGTAAGAAAATGTTCTCAAATGTAGTGAATGCATGCTCACTGTGAGCATAAGAACGAAATGCTGAGCCAAGCAGTGGTGGCACATGCCTGGCAGGTGGATCTCTGAGTTAGTTTGAGGCCAGCCTGGTCTACAGATCAAGTCTATGCTGGCCATCCACAGTGGAGCTAAGCCACAGCTCAGAGAGAGAGTGCTGGCCAAGCATATAAGAGGTCCTGAACTTGACCACTGGACCAACAAAAAATAAAAATAAAATGAATTTAAAACCTGAGAGAAAATATGTCTGGCTTTGAGAAAGGCCTAAAATACACAAGGATCAATAAGGTACAACTTACTTTAAAAATAAAATCCCCACTATTTATTGAGACAGACAAGCATCATAAAGTTAAAATAGTTTGTCATATTCAAAATAAACTTTTAGTTGTGTCTCCCCCCACACCCCCTGCAACTTCCCCACGCAGTCTCACAAGCTGGTCTCAAACTTCATTATATAGCCCCTGCTGGTTCCTTTTGCCTTCACCTCTCCACTGGTGAGAACACAGACACTGTTACCATACCTAGTATAACAATGACAAATTCTGAAATGTAGGAGTATGTGGGGGTGTGCTGGGAGGTGCAGATCTACCAGCTCTGTGAAAACAAATCACAAATTGAGATTTCAGCCTAGCAAGAAAAAGAAATATACAGTGTGTACACTGTGATGTTAAGAACGAAATGCTGAGCCAAGCAGTGGTGGCACATGCCTGGCAGGTGGATCTCTGAGTTAGTTTGAGGCCAGCCTGGTCTACAGATCAAGTTTCAGGATACACTGAGGAGGAGGAGGAGGAGATCAGCTTCCAGATGCAAGTCCTAGGATCTGATCTTGGATCCTCTGGAAGAACAGCGAGTGATCTCAACTGCTAAGCCATTTCTCTAGTCCTCACCAACATTTTCAACAAGGTGGGTATTTTCTTATGAATCATTGGGTCAAAACTTAATTTATTAGAACTCACTCTACCACAGAGAATATTGCTTTCTCACAAATACTAATCTCCAAATGAATCTCCAATTATCTCAAATGCCATATTATACAGAGAAATCACTTCAGGAAGAATACACAACTTACTTTGGCTTCAGTTTCTCCCCTGTGAAGAGTATACAGATGATGGACAGCACTTTGTGATGATGACCAAGGATGAGTCAGGATTTGGAAGACATGAAAGTCATGGCCAAGAGTGTCTGTTGTGACTAAAAGCATTCCTGGAAGGCAAAAGAGCAAAGGATAAAAATAAAAATGATTATGTACGTGGATAAGATACTTATAGAACAATATGTAATATTTTTATGCATTATGAAAGGGGAAAAGGAGATAAGGTTATGAAATAAAAGAATTAAAATAAAGCAATTATTTCCATGAATATCACACCAATACCACTAAACAGGAGTATGATACCCCTGTGTGAACAGCACAAAGAAATTTTACATGCAGAACTTACACAGTGTGCACAGCAACTGTCAGAACATGTGTGAGGGTGGGGAAAAAAGCTGGGCTGGTTTTTCCTAGATGAGGATCTGAGTTCAATCCCTAAAATGTGTGTAAAAATGCCTGGCGTGGTGGTGCAGCACTAAGATAAGGAAACAGGAGGGTCCCTGGAACTCCCTGGCCAGTCAGTCTAGCCTAAGCGATGAGCTCCAGGCCAATGAGAGACCCTAGGTCAAAAGAGGGAGACAGTATCCCCAAGTACAGTTGCCAGTGTTGTCTTCTGACTTCCAGGAGCAATTACACATGCACCCAAACACACAAAAAAGGGAGCAATTGATGATAAAATGATGGGCCATCACAGAGCTTAAACCCACTCCATTAAACTCCAATGCATACCGATCAAACTCCTAAGACCCTTATCTAATGTACTACACATTTAAAATTAGCCTTTAACTAGTTAGACATCTCTCCTCTCAGCTAGTCAAGAGACAGATGCAAGGGGGATCATTTGTGCCCAGGAGTTCAAGAGCAGCCTGAACAATGGCTGAGATCCTTTCCCCCAAATAAACAAACTGACTGACTGACTAACTGAACATCTGTGTGGGCACATGGATTAGCAGGTCAAAGCACTTGTGGCCAAACCTGGTAAACTTCCAGTTTGAGCCAGGGGCCTACAAGGTGGAATGAGAGACTCAATTCCCACAAGTTGCTCTCTGATCTCTGCACACACATGCAGACACACTCACATGCATTCACACACATGCACGCCTGGCATGGTAATTACTGGAATTGCCAACAGTACCTTCCACAAAGTATATTCTTGGCTTTATGTGAAAGAGTGATTACTCCTCATAATACTTTTTTTCTATTTTGGGTTCTTTACTACTGCTGCTGCTATTACTATTGTTATTATTATTATTATTAGTTATTCTAGACAGAGTTTCTCTGTAGTCTTGGCTGTCCTGGAACTCATTCTGTAGACCAGGCTGGCCACAAACTCAGAGATTAATCTGCCTCTGCCTCCCCAAAGCACATATTACTTTAGAAATGACATAGAAATGCTGGGATTAAAGGTGTGCACCACCAGGCCCAGCTTTTTAGAATTACTTTGTACATGTGCTGGAGAAGATCGAGAACACATCTCCCAGCTACCACAAATTATAATTGAGTTTCCCTAATTTGAGGAAATCGCAGAGGTCGGCAGATCTCACAATAGATGAAAACCACATTCTTGATCATGGTATCTCCCTTACCAGGGAGGTAAGAAATCTTTCTTTTTAATAATTTAGCTTTTGGCTTTAAGCTATGGTTTTGAGGACCGATCCCTTTGTAATATAAGCTGACTGTTGTAGAGAGCATATTGCACACACCTCACTCCCAGCATCTGTCCCTTTGCCTTTTTGTGTGGAGTTTTACTGTCTTATAATAATAAAAGGGCATGAATGGTAGCACAGGAGGTAAGGTCCTTGCTAACATGGGAGGATGCCATCCATTAGAGTGTGCAGTTTCCTTGGTTAAATGTAGCCCTGGTAACAAGCTAAGTATCAGATGCCATTTTCCTGGCTATGTACATTTTAGATGATGAAAAGTACCAATTATTGTAAGTAATTTGATAATGAATAATAATTGCTTAAATCACATATTAGCCTGTCTCCCACCAAGCACCTAGTTATGACAAAAGGTCACTGACACATTCGCCATTCGTTTCTTACTGTGACTCAAGCTATGTGTGTCTATGCTTAGTCACAAGTATGTGTTATATTGAAAGCATTCTTTTTCCACTCCTGTTTTTTGCTCAATTACATTAAGTTTTAGTAAAGCACAACTCAATGGCTATCCTCTGATTTTACCTTTTCACAAAAATCAGTTTGGGGCACTTGACAAACAACAGAAACATCATTATAAGGGGAGAAAAGGAGTATATTTATGCTAAATATACACTCCCATTGTACAGATGAACAGCAATATACTTCTTTTCAGATCAGCACTCTACTCAAAATGAGCAATTGAAATGCTGACCAAACAAATCAAGGCCACCACTGTTCTACATGTGAATGGCAATCACACATGAGCATCTCTCAACACCTTTAGGACAACAGCCCCTAACATGTGTACCTCTGGATACATACGTGTATCCTACCTCAGATGCTATCCTCTCCCATTCCTCCAAACAAACTTGGCTTCTAACCCAAAATGAGTTTACATGTCTCACAAAATTTTGAAATCTCAAAACTTAAAAGGCAGAGAGGAAAGGAGAAAGCAGAGCACCGCAGAGGCAAGTGCTCTCTCTCCGTTTCGAATTGCCTCTTTTACACATTCTGCAAAGGGATTAGAAAGCTCCCTTTTTTCTAGAAAACAATTTTAAAAGCACATATACATAAAAGGAAAAAGTCATACGGGGTAGACTGTGGCTTGGGAACTATTTATGCGGCATCAGAAGACTAAACCAGACGCTGGCCTGGCCATAAACTAAACCCACGCCCCAAACGAGGTGCCAAGCCACAAAAAGCATTTGCGTCATCTGGGAATACAAGGAAAAGAAGGGCTTCTAATTATAGGGCCTGGAAGCGGAAGCCCAGAGTGATTAGCTGTTTAGGCGCTGCTGTGTGTTTATCTGGAAGCTTCCTCTCCCTCACTCTCGGCCTCAAGTTTGATAGATGAGCTTTAGTGTCGGAGGGTGGGGACTAAAGCTGCTGACGGTACACGGTGTTCTCCAGAATCTGGGGTGGCTGCAGAATGAACATTAAGGCTGCTGTGGCTTCATCAGAACATAAGTCTTCATCAGAACTTGGCGTCAGCCGGTTAGACCAAAGAGTGAAATTAAAGACTAGCAAAACATCATTGAGCACCGGCTATAAAATCTTGGAAATATGATTTGACTTTTTTCACATATCCTATTTATAACACCTATCTAATTGTGTATATCTTTATCATGTACACACACACAAATACTCAAACTACCAGTTACTCACACTCTTCTAAAAAGAGTCATAAGACAGCAGGCTCAGACAGAAGGGAAGTCACACTTGGGAAGCTCATGAAGTGTTTATATTTACCATCAGTTCTTACAAGGTTATTACTTCTGATCAATACTTGTATAACTGCAAACTTACAATGTATACAGCCAAATTTGTAAAAAAAAAAAAAAAAAAAAAAAAAAAAGACAAGGCAAAGAAATATAATCTCAGTATTGACAGAAATCTTTACCCAGCTTAGGCTCCAGTAAACTTTTATTAACATTGTGGTTATTCAAAGTCAACTAATTGAATACAGGTACATAACAACAGCGCCCTCAAAGCTCAAGGTCTGCATGTACACATCATCTACTTCTCAGCAGGATCACTCTGTATAGTCCTGGTACTCACTCTGTAGACCAGGCTGATCTCAAACTCACACCTGCCTCTGCCTCCCCAGTGATGGGATTAAAGGCGTGTACCACTACCAGCCACTACCCACAGGCAGAATCCATTTCTTAACACATTCTCTCACTCTCTGTCTCTCTGAGTCATTTTTTTCCTAGTAAGTTTTGGAGGGTTATTTATTTGTTTGTTTGTTTGTTTGTTTGTTTGTTTATGGGGGGGAGGGTCAGGTAATGAATACCACATACTAGGCAAGCTCTCTGCCACTGTCCTGACTCCCTTGTCCCACAGCATCAATTACTTCAGGGATTACAGACATGTGTTCCTTAGGCTTTTTAAAGACACAGATAACCAAACTCAATGTATTCTTCCGATTTAGGAGCCCAAAATATAAATCTTTATAAAACACACTAAAAACATCCTGTGAGAGAAACAATAAAGTAAACAGAATGAAGTAAAACCCCAGAGATGATTTATTTGACGCCTTCCTAGAGTTGTCTAGATCTGTAACCAACATAAGTTCAAATTAAATAGATAATATTACATACAACCATGTCACAAAAGTCTGACTCATTTTCTCTTTAAATTAGATCCAGGCTCCCGCATATTTAGCAGTTAAAAAATAAAACATGATAGCTTTTATTTCATTCACTCTTTCTTTGACCCTGAATTCTAAAATTTTTAGTATTATATTAGTGATTCTGGCTCTCCCATGGTTTTTGTTTATTTTGCTTTTGTTTTTTGTTTTCCAAAACAGGGTTTCTCTGTGTAGCCCTACATGTCTAGAACTTTCTTTTTAGACCAGGCTGGCCTTGAACTCACAAAGACCGTTTCAGGCTCCCAAGTTCTGGGATTCTCTCATGGATTTTACCAATAAGCACTGTGAACCTGGACATGCTTGCACAAACCTAATCCCAATGCTTAGGCTGAGGAAGCAGTATCAAAAGATCAAGGCCAGCCTGAGCTACAAAACAAGAAACTATCTCAAAACACCAAAAATAATTACTATTATATTATTATCTTCAATTGGCTTATGTTACTATTGAGTAAATTTATTATGCTTTTATACTTACTTAGGTATATACTTATAAATGTTCTTGTTTTGCCAAATGTTCAAGTATATTTTTATTATATGTCAGAATATAATTCTAATTTCTTAAGCCTTAGTAAGGTACAATTTACATACAATGAATGTATTCATTTTATGTGCTCATTTTGATAAGTCTAATATACAAACAGTTATTAATTATCAAAAATAAGAAAGAGGACCCCAGTCTGATAGCTGGGAAACCAGACCCCCTGAATGTGGGTGTTAGTTAGAAAGACCGGACAGTCTATGGAGCCTCAAGTAGTGAATGGATCAGTATACAAATGGACTTTGGGAGCCCATTCCACAGACAGGGATACTCTCTCAGCCT